CCTTTTCCCCAAACCCAGAGCTCCTTTTCCCCAAACCCAGAGCTCCTTTTCCCCCAAACCCAGAGCTCCTTTTCCCCCAAACCCAGAGCTCCTTTCCCCCAAGCCCAGTCTCACCTCCAGGCCGGTACACCACATCATCCTCGGTGATGAAGGACGTGATCTCGCCGTTGTCGGTTCTCTCGTAGCGCGATTTCTTCTTGGGCGGTTTCTTCTTGCTCTTCTTGCTCGACTCCTCGGTGGTGGCACTGTTGTTGTCGTTGTCCTCGTCCTCGCTGTGCTCGCTCTCCGCGTAGTTCTTGGCGCCTCCCTCCAGGGTGCAGCTGCGCCGGGGCCGGGAGCTCTCGCCCTCCCGAGCCTTGTCCCGCTTGTCCCGCTCCTTGTCCCGGTCCCTGTCCCTGTCCTTGTCTTTGTCTTTGTCCTTGTCCGCTGTCATGATTCGCCACGTGCCTTCTTCTGTCCTCTCACGGCTGGGCCTCCGTGAAAGGTAGACAGTGAGCCTGGGCTTCAGTCTTCTGAATTTCTCACTCAAAGCCAGGAAAAATTCAACCACTCCAACAACCCCAGCGTTTTAAAAAGGTTCTTCAAGAGGCGAGGGGAGAGAAAGAAGGAAAAAGTCCGTGTTAGTATTCCAAATTCTTTCAATTCCTAAAGATAAAAATTAAAACCGAATAAACCCCCACATCCTAAAGCAATTCAGTGTGGAAAGCACAAGCAGTAAAATACAAAGCAGCCTTTTGAAGACTTCATAGAAATGGTAACTTCAGTGTCTGGAAATGTTTGAAGCTACCTCCATCCTCAAAAAAATTCTTCAGTTCACTGCAGAAATGTAATAACTCCTTGGAAGGGGAGTGCTCACCGAGAACAGATATCACTTTATACCTGCAGCTAACAGGGAGCATGCCAGTGCTAAAAACAAAACCCATCAAACATTTAAGAGAGGACAAGTGCAAAGAGGAAGAGTCTCCAGCTTTTATCTGGAGGCAAATGAGGCAGCTCAGCAAATGGCTGCATTGTTTGACATGCCACCACCACTCACAAAGGCTGCCCTACAAAGCTGGTACAGGGGAAGGGATGCCATCTGCCACTTCCAGGGCAATCTGTTAGCAAGTCCTGCCCCTACCCTGCTTTTCCAAAAATAGAGCTAACCTGTAATCCACAGATTACAGGAATTAATTAATTGAAACCAAACCAAACCACAGTAGTTAAAACTGCACTAATGAAATCTGCTTTTCCATATAGAAAAACAGGACCTTTCATGAAAGGAGGGTATTTCAAAAAGGAAGCATTCAACTCACAAAGATATATTACCTTTTTTTTTTCCCCCCTAATTCACCAATAATGCTGAATTTGCCCACATCCAACTCCTAAGTTTCCAGGAAGCTACAACGTGGTGCAACTCAAAATCAGCCCACGGTGCAGAATGTCTGAAAGGCAGGACCTGAGAGCATCGATTGTTCATGCATTAAGCTTTTGAAACCACATCAGAGAAGGGAAAAAGGCTGGTTTGATTTTTGAGAAGTCAGCTGAGGAGTCCCTGATGCCCTGGAAATTCCTGCAGCCCTACAGGAACCTCAACCCTCAGGATTCCTGCTCCCCAGCAGGGGCACACACACAAATTCAATTCTTTAGCTGCTGCAGTGGAGCAGTGCCTGGGGTGTCTCAGCATCTCCCGAGGGAGGAAATGATGCCGTGTGCTGTGTCCTGGCAGCTCTGCCAAAGCCAGGGGATGTGATGGGAGAGCAGCACAGCGAACCTGTCAGTGCCAGCCAACGGTGACAGCAGCGCCTGCAGGGATTCTGAAAGGAACATCCTCGATTTCCAGAGGTGAGGGAATTCCCCAGCAGCAAAGCTTGGGTTTTGTTGTTTTTTTTTTTTTTCTATTGCTGTTCATCCAAAGCTCACTTCAGTGAAAGGATCACAGCCCTCTCTGGCACAACTGCAGCACAAACACCTGCCTTTGACCGGCAAGTGCAAAATGTCCCATTTTTCTTCTTTAAATCACTTCCAATTCAAAAAATCCCCATCAGTCACCATTTCATTATTGAGGATGGGTAGTAAAAGACAGAAAAAAGCAGGTTTGAAACCTGCCAGCTCCAGGGCTTCTCCTTGAAGCCTCAGGATGAAAAGCTAAGAAGGTGCCAACCACCCCACACCTCCAAACTTAAAAGGCAAAACGATTTTAAATTTCCTGTCTTAAGGACAAATAAAAAAGTTGATTAGTAACTGAGAGATAATGCATCCATATTTATTTTAGCTGCATCTGAAACACTCTGAGCTCCATCTCATATTGTCTAAGTCTCAAGGAGCCAGAGCTGTGCAGGCTGCTCCCTGCTAAACTTCAACTTGAAAGTGAATTTCAAGTGAACAACTGTAAAGCTGTGGATTCTGTCCTGGGGCAAACCCAGTGACCTCCGGGTGGGTAAAGCACAAAATCCCAGCCCAAATCAGCCCCCCTGGCCCTGCTGTGCCACCCCCAGCCCCAGGGGTGACTCTGGGACCTGCTGGACCCCAGCTGTGCCCACAACTGCAGGGTTAAATCCTCACCATCCCCTCTCATCAGATTCAAACAAAGTACTTCGGTGTTTTGATTACAAGCCAAATTATTGTGGGGAAATTTTTTTTTTCCTGGGTTTATTTTCTTTGCACAACACAACTCTGCATAGAGGAGTAACACTGAATAAACAAACACCGTGTTCAGATTATTTCATTTACTGGAGGGCTGTGCAAGAATCAGTGTGTGCCACACTTTGTCTGCTCATCTGTGAAATTTCCACTCAGATGGCCACCTTCCTCCCAGCTCCCATTACAGGGGGATCCCAGAAAAATAATTTTCACAGCCATTGCTTTCTTATGTAAATATATCACATTTCCAAGATTATTTCACTCCAAATACTCAACTTCAAAGATTTTGCAGGATTAAACCAACATCACCATGAAGCACTGACTACTTTTATTTAAGAATAAAGCAGCTCCATAACTTTCAGAGTAGCTGCAGCAGGAAAAAAAAAAAAACAAAAAAAAAAACAACACATCTCACACATTCCTTCCTCACCCACTGTGGAACAGGAAGCTGCTACAAACTCCACGTGCTGCCTGATCACTCCTCAGCAAAATGTGAGCACTGTGAAAACTCATCTGCTGATTCAACATCACTCACCACTTCCAGCTGCCGAGTGGGCTCGGCACTTGTGCCACTCTCCGTGCAATTAGCAACGAACGTGGGACCCAAAAAACACCAGCACAGAAATTCCAAAAGCACTGGGAGCCTTTTTCTCATGTCAAACACAGATGTTGGACTCGGGATGAGGGCAGACACCCTGAACATCTGCAGGGGGTTTGGTAAATTCTGTGCAGGGCAGCACAGACAAACACCCTGAACATCTGCAGAGGTTTTGGTAAATTCTGTGCAGGGCAGCACAGACAAACACCCTGAACATCTGCAGAGGTTTTTGGCAAGCTCTGTGCCTCGGGTTCTGGTCACTTTTCCCTGGCAGTTGCTCTTTTTCTCTGCACAAACCCCACCAAAGCAGCTGCTTGTGTCAATTCTGCTCCAGCAAAGCCATTCCCAGCAGCACAGCACCATCACTGCTCCTTCCACAGGGAATTCACCCCAGGAAGAAACCCTGTAAGCTAAAAGGGGAACAATCACTTGACAATAGCTCAGTGTGCCGTACAAAGGAGTGGGAGAATCCTCCCATCCATTATTTGTTCAATGCAAGTTGAAAAACCTGAGGAAAAATGTTAACTTCACTGCACTCACACTCCAAGACCTTTGTGTTGTTATTTTTTCACTGCAGCCTCAGGATATGGCCATTTCTCCAGGTAAGTTTATTACATGCACTCTGGGATAACTTTCTTTATCTCCACCCACTCTGCTATCACACTTGCAAGGTCTTTTTTATCTTAAATTGTTTAGAGATCAAACATGAGCCAAAAATGTGTTTGCAGAGTTACTCACTAAAGTCTGCTTTGTAGCAGAAAATGCAGGCACTGACAACTTGCCATGTATTCAAAGGTTGGTATTCCTGTTAAAATGCTCAGGTCTCCAGTGATGAGGAAATGAAAATCTCCCAGCAGGATTTTGGAGAAATCCAACAGGCACGATTAACCTTTAACTTCATATGATAATCTAAAGTGCACAAGTTCATAATCATTATTTTCAACAGATCATTACCCCATATTCACCTGGTTCAGTTTATTTCCCCCCTCCACCCCAGCATTTTAAATCTAGTTCAAATTAAAGTTTCAACCTTTTTAACAGCCACAAAACCCTTCTCACACTGGAGAGGAGGCCACTGCTACCCCCACAGGTTACCTGCTCCACAGAGTTTTTGTGTCTGTGCACCTGGAAACCCCTGTCAGAGCAAAAGGCACACAGAGCACCACTCTGCACATTAAGCACTTAAACCTCTTAACCAGAATTAAAGAGTCAGGTTTTAAAGATAATGTGAAAGCAAGTCCACCAGAAATGCTAGAGACTGGAACAGGAAGGCATCTGAGAATGCAGGGCAACTAAAAATATGGAGAAGAGCTCCCTTTTCTTATTTAAGCTAAACAGATAAATCTTTTAACAAGATTTGTTTGGTCATGTGTTACCAGTCTCAATAAACACAACAGGACCATTCTTCTGTAAGCTTTTAGTCTCATATTGCCAGATAAAAAGGCACTGTTTTCAGCAAATGCCAGATTAAAGGAACTATGTGCTGCCACTGCTAGAGTTCCTGCCACAGAGCTTTTCTAATTTTGATGTCAAGGAAAAATTTTAACTCAGTTTAAGTGCAAGAGATTAAAACTAAAAAAAAAAAAAAAAAAAAAGTAACAAAGAAAACAGCCCATAAAGGTTTCCCCGTGTATTTATAAGGTTTTAAGAACTGCTTTAAGAAAAAACTTGGAGACCATTTGTGAAAAATAACCCCGATAAGTCAAACATGAAGGCAAGGAAATCCCAGCTGCCAGAGAGAGAAGAGCTGAACTGCAGGAATCCAGGAGCTCAGAGCAGAGGAGTTTCCACACAGCCCACCCTGATAAAACTCATTTACTGCAGGGGAGCCACACACCTTTAACCTCCAGCCTTCAGCAAACACTGGCAACATCTGGGAGCAACTTTCTCCCAAATTCTTTCCCTATCGCCTGCTTGCCATGGAAAATATGAGCTGCAGATATTCAGAGGGACCGAGTGTATTAAGGATTTTATGCAGGAGATCCCTCGGAATATTCCCCATTCCCAGGCTCCATCCATCATCTCCAACTGCCAGGCACTGTGCTCCTGGCATCAACATCCAGCAGCTGCAGACAGGGCAAATTCTGAGACACCAGCAGAGGAGGGCAGAAAAAAGAAAAGGGGGGAAAAAGAAAAAGGGGGAAAAAGAAAAAATAAAAGGGGGGGGAAGTAAAAAGGGGGGGAAGTAAAAAGAAAAAGGGGGAAAAGTAAGGAAAAAGAAAAAGGGGGGAAAAGGTAAGGAAAAAGAAAAAGGGGGAAAAAGTAAGGAAAAAGAAAAAGGGGGAAAAGTAAGAAAAAGGGAATAAAAATAAGGAAAAAAGAGAAAGGGAATACAGTAAGAGTTTTACCCCACTAATCT